GTGCAAATAGAACTATCAATGTGAAAAGTCTGATTTGGAATTTTCATGCGAATCGCGAATCAAATAATAAAAAAAAATATTTTTGTTGTGTTTTTTTTATTTCATATTTTTTTGTGTCCTCTCCGTTCGTGTATGAATGTTAAGTCGGCTCTCGGGCTCAGTTAGTGTGAAAAATTTGAATGCAAAGAAGACGAAAATAAAGAGAAATGTGACTAAGCTCCATGAACAAGAAATTTCTCTATCTTATTTGCTGTCAATTTTATGCTTGAAGCGGCTGAAAAATATATCGTTTTGTGAATAAATACATAAAGTATTGAAAAAAATAAAATAAAATTTTTGAGTGATTGATGAAACATTTTTCCGTATTAGGAAATGAGAAACTAAATGTGACAAGTGACATGATTTGTATAACAAAAATAACAAGTGGATAATTGCAGCATGGTTTAATTAAAAATAAATTTAAAAAAGTCATTGCGAGAGAGAATTGTTGTTGTTATTAAAAGTTTCGCTTAAAATAGTATAACAAGCAATATAATTAAAAAACCTGAAACTATACATAGGAATAATATGGGATTGTGTGTCCGTAGATCATGCAAAATTATTGTAGTTTCCTTTTTACTACTGGTATAATATGTGCATTGTGTAGTGCAACAGCAGCATAATATTTTTGTTTTTTTCGTAAACTTTTGAACCCGAGCAGTACTTAATATTTTTGAGATTTATGGGAATTTAATGTTTTTGGATTGGAATTATTGTGATTTATGAATTCATAAGTTTTGGAATTTAAATCTTCGATTTGCTAGGTTTTGTAAAATAATCTCAATTTAATAAAAATTCTGTTATTTTATTTAATGTCAATGTGCCAATTCAATAGCTTTTCAAGCTGTCCTTCCGGGTATTAATCAGTGATAATGACTCTAAATAAATTTTAAAATTGTGGCTTTATTTATTTGATCATTAATGAATCATTAACCACTTTTAATTAAATCTGTGGTTAAGTTCATGTAATTTATTTTTTTGAAATGTTTATTGTCTTAAAAATATGATGCGATTCAAATTTGGCGAACAACATAATAATATTGAAGAATAATTTTTGGAAAATTTGATTAAGACATTCAGATTATTTGTAAAAAATCAATTCTAAAGTTGATGTTTTAATATTAGTAAATCACAATCTAAATCAGTGAGTTCAAAGATTTAATGTGTCGCAGAAAAAAAATTCAGAAAATTTCACGAATCGTGTGCCATGGACGGTTTTGATAATGGCTTAGCATCAAAATGTGTCGCCCACCAAAAAAGTTTGCAAAACACTGGTTCAAGCTTCGTTAGCTTGTTGACAAATTTCAATAACTGATCAAACTCTAGTTTAATATCACAAATCGTAAACTAAAGACAATTAAGGATATAATAAGTAAATAATCACAAAATAAATTATTCTTGTGCAATGGAAGTGGAATTAATCTCCATAAAAAAGAGACTAAGTGGAAAATTGAAGGATCAGATATCAAAAATCTCATTTTCCATTCAAATGCATCCAAAAATACCCTTTAATAAATGATAATCTGAGTTGATCTGATATCCAATAAATTTTATTTATCTAATTTAAATATTTGAATTTTTACACAAATTTTGAATTCCAGTGCCTCAAAAGGCTGAGCCCTCTCCATGCTTTATTACACAAATTAAATTAAAATTCCAATTTCTAACTGCAAATTAATTTGTCAACCTTAACTACTTCCATTAATTTCTCAAAAATAAAATTTCCCACTGCTCGGGTCAAGAAATCATAGAAAAAAAGTCACACTGTAGTTCTTGAATGTTGAATGCTTATAAATAAAGAAGAATAGTTGGAAAAATTGGCATTAAATGATTCACGTTTTAATATTCCAAATTGAAATCAATAGTAAACTCATATAAGGAATAGAGAGAAAAGAGAGTTGTATATCTATGATATAGTAGATGAAAAGCACTAGCAAACAATAATTATTCATTCACAGGAATAGAAAAATGAAAAGAAAGTAGGAAGTAGTGGCAGTATATCAAAATAGGATCTCATGCTGTGTGCAGTACACGTTCTTATTGAAAGAGAATTGAAGGAATGAAAAGAAAAAAATAAAGTATATAGGGCATGTGTGCATGTATGTTTACGTAAAATTAAATGAAAAATAAAAAAAAAAAAACAAAGACGAAAAGGAATGAAAAAATAGAAGAAATTCCTCCATAGAAATTCACACACAAAGTATGGATTTTTACCACTTAAAAAATGCTAGAAATGGCATTAGAAATAGCATGGCAGAGAATTCACATTAAAATATATATATTCATAGTCGTCGAAAGCTAGCATAAAGACTTCATTTTCATTTTCATAAAAATATAATTTTCGTGTGACAAAATTAAAATTTTCACCACAAAGAATCAATTAAGGAGCTATAGTCAGCGGTTCAAAAGTGAAACAAAAGAGTCATAAATTGATATTAAAAAGTCAGGAGCCTCATCTTTCATATTGCGTCTGTACCCCCTACAAGAAAAGCCTCTTTCAGCCTCATAAATAGATACGAGAACCTTGAGTTATATACACATCGTATAAATGTCATTCTAGTGTCATTGAAATACAAAAAAAATTCTTTAAAGTGGAATTTTCCTCCTTAAATATGTGTGTTAATATTTTATATTGCAAACTAAGTTCCTCTAGCTTCACTGACTACACAAAAACAAATATATTTTTATTCTTTCATTCCTTCCTTTTCTTGTATGATATGTAAAAAAGGTGTTTTATAGTTTCGTTGCGGGCGACTATAAAATACCATAAAAACGCGAGCTTTTTGTAAAATTCTTCATTTTTTTAATACTCGCAACTATTTTGCTGTGTGTACCTTCGCCTACATTTTATTCAGGATAGAAATTGAATACAAAACGCACTCTGTGTGTGACGTAATAAGTGAATTAAAATTTCTGTATATATTTTTTTTTTATTAACGTGCTACATGTTTATGTACTTACTTTGACCGGGTTTCTGGATTATTTATGGATATGAAGTTTGATTCATGAAGTTTTTATTTATGAGACTTTTTTTTTCTGTGTGGAGATTTTTTTTTTTTGCATTTTGTTTTTGTAATTTGCGATAAATATTTTTAAATCAGGTTGTTGTAGTGATGTGGACCTCCTTAACATGAATGATAATCTAGAAATGTTTCCAATAGATTGACTTTGGGATGTATTGGGATGTTCAGAAACATCTTTACCTTCCGGCGATTTAACTTTATTCATAAAATCTTTTATGGTGTTTTAAGGTGTTCGTGCGCAACCCAACCAATTTTCCTGTATTTACCTTGAAGGGACTCATAAAATACAAATGATTAGGACCACTAATTTTTTTTGTAGGCATTTTGATTTTGATACATTTTTAATTTTTTGAACATCTTTAACATTTTCATAGAAACTTTCAAACAGAAAACAGTGTTAATGGGAAAAAACACATGCTTTGAACTAAACGGCAGCCACTTGTCAGCGTTTCTACATAGTTGCTCTGTAGCTTCTTATTAGAATCTTATCTGTTATGTAAACAAACTATCAAACCGTGTTTATCAGAGTTGTGTCTAGTAAAATTCAAAAGCTAATTAATCTTAGACAGACTTTCTTGTTAAAGTCAGATTTAAAAGCTATTTAATAAAAATAAAGACTTCAATCGTTTCAACCCACCAATTAATCCTCAAATTAGGTTTACAGAAATTAATTATACTTCCTTAACAAACATCCAAAATGCATTATTTACCTGAGCTGTTATCAGTTGATGTAGAAAGTGCGCCATGATTACTCACGAAGGAACATTAATTTACTCAATTTTTCTTTTCATTCACTTCTCTTTTTTTTGGTCTATATATTTTTTTTAAATGAACAGCAACTTTACGAGCGTAAATGAGAAGAAAATCGAGGCCATTTGCCATGTAATGTGTTCTCGCAATAATGAAATAGAAAGGAGGGAATGAGTGTAATCCAGAAAAATAGGAACATTAATTAGAATATTTATATTCCTCTTGGTTACGATATTCGTTTACTAGTGCTTTAAGTGCCTTCATATCAAATAATTCATAAGGCTTTATATGCAAGAATGGAAATGGCAATGTATATGAAAATTAAATCATTTATTTTGTAGTCAAACAAAATAAAAGTCCTGTGCAACATCAAGTACAGCATATACATTACAAAATAGAAAATGATATTCCTTCCAAAATAATATAAAGCCCTAAATTACGACATGAATAAAACTAAACTTATGATTATTAAGCATTAACAGAGTGAGAAAGAGGATGAATAATAACAATAATAAGCAGCAGGAAGAAGAATAAAAAAAATAATAATAAAGCATTTTGTGTAACATTTAAAGACGAAATGAAGTAAGAGCCTCGAGTGTGAAGAATGAATATAATATGCTGCTGTTGTCGTGTTATTAAAGTTTGCGTTTGTTATTTCAAGAAAAGAAAAAAATTATGTAAATGAAAAGAAGTAAAAGAAATGAATTAAAATGAAAAGGATTTGTAAATGCCTTAAAAACCCATATAAACCACAAACCTATATACATATTCTTACCTACTTTTCTCTCTCTCTCTCACTTGACAAATAAACAAACAAAATAATAAAGAAAGTCGCTGAATCACGCTGAGAATTAACGTGCAAGAAAAGAATAAAATGAAGATTGTGAGGATATAAACATATAATATATGAAATTATAGTAATGACGATCACACTGTGTACAGTACTGATGATGAAGATGATAAATGTTTTAGTTATGAGTGTGAAATTAAAATCGACTACTTCTTAGAATATATAAATTTCCTGTTTTTACGGATAAATGCTTCCCATGAGCTTTTAAGCCTTCATAAAAAATTAAAAAACTTGTTTTTTTTTCTGTGTGATAAAAAGAATGGAGCTAGTCATCTATAGGATGACCAGACAATTTTAAATTTAAGGAGAATTAAATAGACATTATCGAGTCATAAAATAAAGGACAGTCCTCAAGCAGATGGTCAACCTAGTCATCTGCAAACTTCAGTATACTCATAGTCTCTAATGTTGGAGAGAGTAGGCACTTAAGTTATATAAAAAGCTATAAAGAGAGAAAGAACAGCCGATAGGGACATTACGAGTAAGGATATCCATATATAGAAGAGACTAAGAAAAAAGCAATAAATTTTGTTACCGAAAAAAAAGTCATTATTTGAAACAAAAGGAGACAAGGAAGCAGCAGAAAACAAAAAAAAATATTTTAATTATAATTTCCTTCCGTTATCAAGTTCCTCTCTCACTTTTCTGGATATAAAAATAGTTATTTTTTTTTTATTCTGTGCTCGTGTTGGAATAAGAAAATTATGAATTCGGGTATGAATGGTGATAATGACACTAATCATAAGCTACAATCGTTGGGTAAAAGTGTGTCGTGTGACAATCTAAAAGCAAATTCATGCATTGAACTCGCCGACATACGTAAATTGGACAGCCTCTTAAATCAATGTGAATCAATAAGTTGTGATAATTTATTACTATACGATGACATTTACAATTATGATTTGTGTCAGACAAATAGACGTAAATATGCGTCAACATCGGCCATTAATAAAATCCTACCAAAGAACTCGATACGACGTCGTGCACATAAAAAAGTTCTCGGCATACGAGAAAGTGATACAAAAATTATTAAATTTCTTGACGAGAAACGTGGCAACAATCATGATGATTCTGTCGCATATGGAGAGTTGATAAACTGTTGTGATTCAAATGTCGACATCCATGATGATATAATTGATAAGGATAGCGAAGCAAATGATGTGAATATTGTAACATCATCTCCAAATCGTGTCATTGATGATAAAGTCAATGAGGGTATTGAAAATCTTCATCATTTATCGTCATCAACACCAACGCCTCCACAACTTTTAGCATGTTATGATCCAAATCTTCTTATGCATCGTTCACCGATTAATTGTTGTGATAAAACTATACAAACATCTTATATTGATCTTAATAACCCTCAAGATGATGATTATGTAAAATGTGTATGTAGCAACAATGAGACGTCGATCTCGTCTTCAAGATGTACACCAAACCATTCACCGCATATAAAGCACGTTCAAAATAGTAATAATAATATAAGCAGCGAGAGAAAATATTGTAAAGGAGCAAAAGAGCGAAGGAAACAATGCTCATGTCGAGATTATAAAAGTGTAAATAGCGCAACAATATGTGAAACCTCTTTATCGACAATACCAAGTCATAGTCATAGTCATAAAAATAATATTAATGCATCGAATATAAAATTAACTCCAAAACAACGACCTTCAACAAAATCAACATTAGCAGCAGCATCAGCATTGCTTCAAACTAGTCCAGCTATAAAATTGCCCAAAAAATCGTTACTATCTAAAAAGGATAAAAGCGACGACAAGTCTTCATCATTTAATAATAATAATAAGTACAATAGGTTAATGAAACAAAAGAATACAATTCTTGACGACGATGAGTGTTGTGGTGGCAACGGAACTAATAATAATAATAATGAAAATCGTGTAATTAATATAAATCAATCAGTTGAAATAATCCCAATATCGACAATGAACTCCTTAACATATTCACAGCCTGTAACACCACGTCTCGGTACCAGTACAAGTTTACATCATGATGCTGAAAAATCGGAAACGCAAAGCCAAAAATCACAAAAATCAAAGCGCTCAAAATTCTCACCTTCCTTCATATCGCGAAAATTGACGTCACGTCTCAACAGCAGTGAGCTTGAAGATGGTGCTGGTGGCGCGAAAGAATCGTTGCTTGGTGGAAGTCGTGGAAAATCGATTGAAAAGAAATTACCCGAGCCTGTGGAGACTGTATGTATCAAGTGTTGTTGCTTTTGAAGAAATACACTTTTTTTTTGTTCTCAACTTTTTGTTATTTCTGTTAAGTTTAACTTCCTTCCTTTTGTGTTCCTTTTTATGAAAATATATAGAAACATTTGTTTGTTTGGGGCATATACTTGTATTTATGGATCTAGCGATCTAGCGATGTTATTTAAAGAAAAATTCAAAATTAATTTCTAAATCAAGATGCGGTTGAGCTTGTTTTGATGAGAATGCCTTAAATCCACTTTTGAAGCTGTTTCTCGTCAGCAATTAAGAGGCCGTTCACTTATGACGTCCATCAAAAAATGAGATTTTTAGACCCCCCCCCCCTCTGTCACAAAATTTTCATACAAAAAATCTTTTTTATTGAGGTGTCATACAGCTTCAGACCCCCCTCCCCCACTAAATGTTGGACGTCACAGGTGAACGACCCCTAAACAATATTTAACTAGCAAACTAGAAACAAGATCTGTCAAAAAATGAAATGATATTTTGTCTTGGTTCTTACTGCCATACTTAGGAGCAGCTTAAGTGCTTGATAGTAATTACATCTATTTAACTTTAGCTCTTCATGTAGAAGCTAAAGTCTGATTAGTTCATGTAATGTCGTCAAGCATTGTGCAAGTTCTTGTCAAATCCACAACAATCTGTTAAAAATCAGGAATTGATTTTGATGGGATTCAAACCAACGTCTTACTCGAAAATTAGTTCTTGAGTCTGTTGTTTTTCCGCTCAGACAATATGACTTTAATCTTATAATGACAGATTCGTCTATACATGACTCGATACCCAATGCGATGCTATAGCTTCCTAGGTAACCCTACTCAAGAATGCAGAATTCGATGCTGGGTTATAAGTCCAAAGATTATAAGTCCAGGTACAAAAATCGTGCACAGAAAATTATAAGTCCAGAAAATCAAAGTCAATAAAATTTTATAAGTCCAGATACAAATTGCACCTGGACTTAAAAACCTCACGTGCAGTTTATAATTCCAGGTACAGATACAGCTGGAATTATAAACTGCACGAGAGGTTTTTAAGTCCAGGTACATTTTATATCTGGACTTATAAACTTCACGTGTGGTTTATAATTCCAGAAAATTTAAAAATTTTACTAATTATCTCCCAGTGCGATTATAAGTCCAGATACATTTTTCTGGACTTATAATCCTTGAAAATTATTTGATATTATTTTAAATTTTTTCATTTAAAGTAATTCTTCACATGAATTTTTGAAAACTTCACAAAAAGAATTCACATTTCTCTGATTTTTTTTTTCCTCTAAAGTACCATATAGGGTAAATCATTTTGAAATTTGCGTGTTTTCAGACTTGAATTTTCAAACGCTTGTAACTAATCGACGAATTGACATTGCTCTTGAAATGTTGAGAGTCGTCGATATTTTTATTTTTGATCATGTAAAGGTTTTTGTGATGCATCAATTCAGAGAAAATTGACATTTAAGTTTTCATTTTGAAATATGCGCAGAAATTTTAAAAATTTGAGCAAAAATATTTTGAAATTTGCGCACTTTTTTGATAGTAATCTTTACCCTATACAATTTAGCATCAAATTACAGCTGTACTAAAATTACAGCTGTAGATTACAGATGAACTTACGTCGTTACGTAAAAATCAATTTACAGCTGTAGTTTAATGTGTATAAGTAAAAACAGTTGTAAATACAGATGGTGTTTATAGCTTAGACAAGTGCTTAGCTGTCCTTACAGTTAATGTAATTTTTTATAAATTCTGCTGGTTTTGACTATTATTTTACCTTTTACAAAAAGATTGAATAGAAAACAAGGTACAGTAGCGTGTAAAAATTTATAAAAATCACATTTTTCGCTCTGGATGTTAACATTTAAAATATAAATAATACAAGAATAAAAAGGGGAAACAAAATCCTCTGCTTTGTTTTCTCACAGAATGCAAAAAACTGATTTTTCAATCTGAACAAAACCAATAGATTCACACGTGAATACGGGATGAATATAAAAATTTGAAATTATATCAAATAATTTTCAAGGATTATAAGTCCAGAAAAATGTATCTGGATTTATAATCGCACTGGGAGATTATAAGTAAAATTTGTAAATTTTCTGGAATTATAAACCACACGTGAGGTTTATAAGTCCAGATATAAAATGTACCTGGACTTAAAAACCTCTCGTGCAGTTTAAAATTCCAGCTGTATCTGTACCTGGAATTATAAACTGCACGTGAGGTTTTTAAGTCCAGGTGCAATTTGTATCTGGACTTATAAACCTTTATTGACTTTGATTTTCTGGACTTATAATCTCTGGACTTATAGTTTCTGGACTTATAACCCAGCATCGCAGAATTCATGTACCTTAAAACTGAAGAAAGATAAAATTTATTTAATAAAATTTGATTTGATCTTAAAAACTGGACCCAGATCCAACTCTGTTTAACAGCACACTTTAGTAATATTCCAGCATAGCTTTCTACCAAAGTTAACATATTCACAATAGTAACCCCCTTAAATTCAATTTTTCTTTGATATTCTCTCAAATAAAATTTTTTCTCTCCTCATTCTTTATACATTGTGTATAGTATATGATGTCGATATGTTTATTTGAAATCCCATGTGCGATCAATATAAATATTGAGAGACGAAGCCAAGAAGCAAAATATGAAAGGAATATGAATTGCCTTATATATCTATCTAATAGTTGAGACTTCTTTCTTTTTCTCCTGTCAAAGAACAACATTATTGTCTATTTGACCTCTACTGAGTCATCTCCCTCACCACCTTCCTTCCTATTTTCTGTAGTAGTCATGTTAACGGAAGGAGTGAGAAAATCAAATATCAAGGAAAGAACGAAGTGACCGTAAAAAAATAATCGGGACATTAGAATTTTTTTTTGTTTTCTTCTTGGCATGGACAATATGGCTTACCTTGCGACGTTTTGTATTAACAAAGGTCATTCCCTAAAAAAAAAATTGGTTTCTTCTTTTTAAAATACATTTGAACGGAAGCGGAAATCACTTTATGCTATAAATAAATTCTTGTTTTTAAGCTGCCACTTGAAAGAGGATTTTGCACGTAATTTAGATACGCTATTATATATTTTAGCGAAAACGATCAAATTTCATAATTTCACTCTGTGAGCTCCTCTTCGACCATAAAGCGCGAATAAGCTGTTCCTTCTCCAATTTTATTAATGTTTTTTGCTGTGTGTGCTTTATGGATTATTTTTCGTTGAGGAACATATGATATGACTGAAGGATGTTTAAATTATCTTTTTTTTTCGTATGTCAAGCAGCCAAAAATTTATTTTCAATGTCAATAAGCTTCCAGCCGTGTTGATAGATGAAGAGTTGAAAAACAACTTTTTTGGTTTTGGTTAAGGGGTCGTTCGCAAGTGATGTCGTTATAGACAGTGGATTTTTAGAAACCTCTTTGTCTAAATGCTTTTTCATATGAAGAACACACTTCCTTAAATTTGAGACGTCATAGTAGAACAACCCCATATTCAACCATAGATTATTTCTAATTTACTTTTCTGCTCAGGAAAAAGCAAAAAGGCGCCGATGTTGACATTTCATTTATAATCATTTTAGGGCTCTAGTTACAAACTTTCTTGCGGATAGGTGATAAGCTTTAAAGAAAACTTTCTGAAGAAGAAGACGTTGAAAACTATCAGAAAAGCCCTTGAAGAATTAAAATGATGTAAAAACATTTATCTAAATTGTTCTCTATTTCTATATAGTGCAGATATAAAGCATATTGATCACGTGCGATCATCTTCAATTTATTATTTCATTCAAGTTTCATCCCTTTTTGTTAACCCTTTCTGATTCTATAGAATATAAAGTATATGAAGACGTTGACTGAATTTTATTTTGGTACATCCACACACATGTGATGGAAATACATTCAAAATTCAATTCCATGTTTTGTTATTCTAAATAATAATGATTGATTACAAATTGTTGTGCTGAAAAGAAAATTTCATCCTATTGATCGACATATCGGGGTTGATGTATTCGTGCTGGCCTTTGACTGATGAATTTTTTGAGTTGATACTGTTTTTGAATATGAAGGTTTTGGGTGGGGTTAGAGAATTTATTTTTTTTTAAAAAAAAAAATATGGATCATTGCGTGATCGTAAGCATGAGATACTAGATGTTTTTATTATTAGAGTTCGAGGCTGGTTTCTTGGGTAAGCATAAGATTATATTCTTTAGAATTCAGGTTCGTTCATAATTGACGTCTTTTTAGAAATAATGGAGAAAAAGAAAGGACAGGAAAGATTAGTTCCCATAAATTATATTTGGTTCTTTATATATGCAAATGACACTTGATAATTGCTTTAAGCTAGTGCTATCTGAGCAACAAAGAAGTTCAAAATGACTAGGCAAAGACCCGCCATTGCCATGTCATGAAGTTCCTAGCAAGCGATCGCTCAAGCTGGACATCAAAAGTCACCAATCCATATCCAGTCATTTAAAAATTCAATTTTTAATCCAAAAAAATTCCGACTCACCAACTCTGTGACAGCAAGTATCAGACATACCAAAAAAAATGCAATTTTGTTTCAATCCCAAAAAGCATATTTTTTCATCAATCCATCCTTGAACCAAATTATGTTCCTCTCATGTAAGATATTGCCGAAATATCATCATTATATCAAGCCAATATTATCGTTTACTGAACAACCCGTCGTCGATATGCCTTTTTTTTACCCAATATCTATTTATTCGCCGTCTATATACCAACATTATGTAAGTTGAATGTTTTTCAACGAAAAACAAAAATCCTATCATCCTTACAAAACGATGAGTGAGCAATCAAATTAATTTTTTCAAAGCAATGCTGTTTTTATCGATTATTTCTGCTTCTTTTTTCCCTATGCTCCCTTCACAATATTATTTTAATAATACAATATCTTTCTGTGTATGGTTGGATGAGTAAGTGAATGGGAAAGAGTGCCACAAGACAAGACAAAAAAAAATTATTGT